AGCATCATTCTTTGCAATCTACAAAGGGTTCTGCTCAAGGGTTTCTTACAGATTGTCTCCAGGGGTTGGTGGTCTGAGTGGACTTTGATGTCATGTTTACCGTGTATAAGTAGTGATGCCATTTATCCATGCAGGATACAATCGCAAGACACTGTTTCTCGACTTGAGCATAGTTTCTTTCTGTGTTGGTGAGGGTATGTGAAGTGAAATGGACAGGGTGCCCCTCTTGTAGTAAAACCCCACCTACTGCATTGTCAGATGCGTCTACTTGAAGTGTCACTGGGAGGTGTGGGTCATAATAGCGCAGCCCGGTTGTTGAGGCGACGAGACGTTTAGCTGAGTTAAGTGCTGTTTCGTGACTTTGAGACCAAAGAAATGCGGCAGTCATCTTTGGAGAAGTTCCTCAATCGCAAGACTGTTTCGGACAGGTTGTGACAGAATTTGGACAGGTACTGGCACATTCCCAGGAAGCGATGCACTGCAGCTTTGTCAGTTGGAACTAGCATTTCTCTGATGGCGGCTACTTTGGCAGGATCAAGCTCCGCCCCTTTATGTATAAGCTTGTGCCCCATGAAAGTGACAGATGGAATTTTAACTGAAGTTTTTTCGCAGAAAGCCGTAGATCGTGTTCAGCACACTTCTCCAAGAGCTGCACCAAGTTCCGGTCGCGGTAGATTCCAGCATCTTATTTTAAGTCGCCACACATACACTCAAATATCATCGGCGATGTTAATTACACCGCGTAGACCGTCTAAGAATTCGTGCTGTCGCCGCTCAGGCGGTGTGCGCACTATGATCACTAAGCATCATGGGCGGTATTCAAAATCTGATCATTTGTGTCAAGATGGCGTGGAGTGAACATCTCGACTGCGGAGTGAATATTCGTTAATTACGCTGTAGATATAGACGATTTTGCTTTGAATGTCCTCCGGAAGCCCTTGAAAAAGAAAGTCTATCCAATTCTCAGGGAAAAAACAGTCTCATTCCGTTGATAAGTGTATTCTGGTGTATTTTGTTCGTAATGACTTGCATCCTGTTTGCAACTGACCGAGATAAGTCGGCACAGAAACGCTTTGTTCAATGCTTCAATCATGAAAAGCACTGGAGGTAAGACCCGCGGTTCGCCGAAAATTTTTGAATTCACCGTGAAATCAGTGCAACTAGTGCTAAGAGGTACTGATGTGCATAGCTGTGATATACTCATAAAATACTAGGAGCTTCTTCAGAATACCCGGCAACGGTATTTAAACACAGTGAGCTTATTTTGTTTTGTCATTCAGCATTGCAAGATGTTCACTTGCTAGCTGTAATAAGAGAATCGAAGTTGAGGGGGTCATCGTTTCGAGGACTTGTTTCTCTGTTGGCACCAAGTCTGCATTTCGTTTTGCTTAACATCTGTATTTATCATCACATGAAGACAAGTAAATAAAGTAGAGAGTATTTGTGTACAGTGAACTTGTGTCCTGTTTATAGATAATATAATATTGAGCATCTTTATTTGCCCATATATTTTCTATTGGTATGAGTCATAGAATGTCTTATAACTGGATTGAAACTGAAAATGGCATATTTGTGATTACAAAGCCTGATGCAGTCAATAGATTTTAAAAGCTTCAGCCACTATTTGTTTAATGATTGTGTCAGTATGTACAAACACATGTTATCACATATTTTTTTGTATTATAAAAACTCTTCAAAATGTGAAATTCATACATGTTTACAAATCTCCTGTAATCAGGGCTGGGGCAACATAGCTTGAGACCCCTTTCCTTTCTCCTCACCCCAATTTTATAATTTAAATATGGTGTCATAGGTCTCATCATACTCACAGTCAACTCTGTTATACAGACACTGAGGGGACCGAAGAAATTAACCATCTTAATTTAGAGAAAATTTAAGGGCTTTTTTCCAGGGAACAAAGCAAGCTATCTGTAATGATGAACAAGGCTGTGCTCTAAGGAACATTGAAAGGAGCCTAGTTCTCTGAACCTGTAAAATCTAGGCTGCTCAGCATATGATTTGTATGAAAAGTCTGAGATTTTCTAGTCACCCAAAAGCAAAAGTTAGGTGCCAGGGGCCACACGGCTCTGCTAGAGCACAGCCTTGATCAGGTCTGTATGAAGCGATTGTCCGTAAAGAGGGCTTTTGGGTTACCAGTTATTGCAGAGGTGGATCCTAGTGGTAGAGTAAAACCCCCTGACCTAGAACCTGAATTTCAAGAACCTGTTCAGCTACAATAAAATTATGCCAGATGAGCCCCCTCTATATAAAAACCTGTTTAGCCTAAAATTTGAAACAGATTCTTATTTTTGAAATCTATGAAAAAATTCTGTACACTTGAGCAGAGATAAATCAACATTTAGAATCTTCTTTGGAAACAAAGCTGTCTTATCACTCCAACTGCAATGTAAATGCCAATGTTTAAATTTAAATACATTCCTCTTTTTATGTCCATTCTCACATAACTTCTAATTTGGTATGCAGACTTTATATGAGGAATAAGGTGAAACACAAATACAGTAAAAACCCGCATATAAGAACCTAGGTTTTTCCAAGTTAGCCTAAACAGGTTCTTATATAAATGGTATTTAGTGTAAAATTAGGCTAACTAGGCTCTTAATTAGGTTCTTAACTTTTGTTCAAGAAATAAAGCTGAATTTTTCTATGATCTGGTGTTTAATGTCCAAAAACAGTATTCTTGGAGGCTTCGTTAAGCAAAATACTATACTATTTTAATCTGATTCTGTTACAATCAAACCTATGGTATACTGTAACCTTCACTATAATTGTCAATAAATCTTGCATACACAACAACAATAAATAAACAAGAACCTGTTTTAGGATTTTAGCCTAAAATGGTTCTTATGTGAAGGGTGCTTAAAAATGAAATTTTAGCCTAACAGGTTCTTAAATGTTAGGTTCTTATACGCGGGTTTTTACTGTACTCTTAGCTACATTTTTACTTCAGAAAATATGAACCCATTTAAAAACCTAAATAGCCTAAACTTGTGCTAACTACTATTTATATAAGAATCTGTTTAGGCTTACTTTGTTAATTCAGGTTCTTAGTCTCATGATTTTACTGCCCCATTGTTCCACTTTTTCTATTTCCTTTCCCTGTCACCATTTTTTCAGCCTTGGTTTTCCAATATCAAAAGCACATTCAATGATCAAGCAATTTATATTTGAACTAAAGCCACCAAAATATGCAAATTGTTTGATATATATTAAACAGTGTAAACAGGTAAACAGATTGAATGACATCACTTAGCCTGTTTGGCAGGCATTTCAAAGAAAAGGGAAAGTGGGTCTTAGTGCAAGAGAAATGTGAGGGAAGGAGGGAGGGAAATGCCTGCCATACAGGAGACTAATTGTTTTTTGCATTATAAACATCAACCAGCTGAATGTTGAAATCACTCCCTCCTTCCTCGTGCACTCTTCGCATTTCTCTTGTGCCCAAAACCCCTCTCCCTTTCCTTTTAAATGCCTGCTATGGAGGCTAATCACCACTGAATAAAACAGGGACTAGGCAAGAAACTGACAAAGTCATAACATCCACACAACAACACACACCAATCTTGGAAGTAGATTGCTGGTTTCAAAATCCACAGGGCTTAACTGTATAATCAAACTTATCTTTTAATTTAATACCTCTAATTCTAATCCTACTGATTTTATACCTGCATAAAGAGAGTCACATGTATGACTGCAATTTTATTATGCTTTTTTAGTCCTATTACAAAAACAGACATTCCTACATCAGAGTACTCATTAGCATATTTAAATACCAGTTTCGAACATTTTATGCTCACCTAATGCTATTGTTTGGAGGAACCAGTCGCCGCTGCCCTGCTATTTTGTGATCAGCTTGTGATTACAACAGTAACACTTCCAGTAACATGTCACATTGGTCTTCGCGAGGCTACATTTTCCCATGAAAACATGCCGGTTTCAATTTGGAAAAAGTATCACAAAACGTGGGGCGCGTTGGGAAGCGATACAAAATTAGCGTAGAACAAGGTTTGTAGAAACACTTACAACTATCTTCTACTTTCGACGGGCAATATAATGGAAATTATAGGCTCTTAAAAACCGGGTTCAAATTTCATGCTCTTACAGGAGGAATCTTCGGGCTCCACGTTTTAGATTGAAATGAAGAATATTGATTTTTTTTCTTCACAGAAAAAATCTAAACAAATATTAGCTTGTGAAATCGAGAAAACCTATCTAAGGAAAGAACTGTATCTATTGAAAAATAAAGCATATAACCTGCGAATTTTCTCGACCTTCGCCGCCATCTTGAAAATTTTGAATCCACAATGCATCGCAGTCGTAGTGCGCACACCGCCTGGTCGCCGCTAGTATTTCTCTGGACCAGAAGCAATACCGAAAGGCATGCGGTTATAGCAACAGCGACCGTTTGGCCCCTGAAACGTCGCGAGTAGAGAGGACTTTTCATCCAGTACAATGGTGTGGAATGCTTGAGATGCATCAACAAAGGTGAAGACTTTGGCCTTTGTTAGTAGAGGAATCTCAGTTCAATCTCTTCGATGGTCGGTATCGTGTATTTGGGTCTCTTTATCGTCTTGTTTATTGTCTGGCTTGGGTCAATACAGATGCGAACTTTGCCGTTTGGTTTTTCTTTAACCAAAATGTTAGACAGCCAGTCTGTAGGTTGGGTAACAGGCCTAATAATCCCTTTTTCACAAAGCCTTTTCAGTTCTTCATTTACCCGACCTAACTTTGCCACGGGCACTGGGCCTGTTGTGGCATGTACAGGTTTAACAGAGGGGTCCAACCCAATATCCATAGGTGTCTGAGGGTTTTCCGCGCTCCGGTCTAAGCACATTGGCATACTGCCGTAAAATGCTTCCGTATGTGCTGATTCTGCTTCTGGTCTTTGAAACCTTTAAATTAGGGAATAACTGGCTTAATAAATTGCTGGGAATGGTGTTGCAAGTTGAAGCTGAGTCGATTTTTGCTCTCACAATTTTCGACTTCTCTTCGTGAACAAGGTGTAAATGAGCCAAGAACTTCTTTGCACTCCGAGGTGTTGCTTTGCATTCTGCTACAAACGTCTCCTCATCTGCATCAGCATCAACGAAATTTGACTGTTGGCTGTTGCCTGCTTGCTCTCTTGTTCCTCCTTTACATGCACGAGCGAAATGACCAACGATTCCACACTTATTGCATTTCCTGCCAAACGCAGGGCATGTGATAAATAGTTGTGTAACAATTCATTTAAATACGTTTATTTAGTGACATAGGCGTACGGGCCGGGGGGGCGAGGAGGGCTGCAGACCCCCAAATTTTGGGCAACTCAGATTTTTTGGGCAGCAAGAGAAAATTTGGGCAAAGCCAGCTTTTGAAGACGTTTTCATGTTTTTTTGTTAGCATTTTGAAGAGATAAATCTTTTCTATTTTAACCTGAAGTCGGCGTAATAATCAAGTTACATTCACACGAGACAGTGGTTGCCAAGCACGTGATGAGTTTCTGTTTATAGGGGAAGGGTTTATTTTTATCGTTGGGAACTGTACTGCAATGGGTTATTTCCAATCGTGAATTGATTAGAATAAACTTCCGCCTAACTTTCTAGAATCATCTTCGCTCGTAGAACAGTGTATGGCAGATTGCATCAGCGATTGATCTGAAAGTGAAGAAGTGGCTGACGAATTCTTGCTTGAATTACGCGAAGAATCTTAATTTTTTAAAAAAAAAATCTATCAAGTGGTTCAAATTATTCACTTAGAGTAGACCGAAATGTTTACAAAACCGCTAACAAGAGCGCCATAATGCATACTAATGAAATCCTTCTTTGTAGCAATTGACCAGAATTATCTCTAAAATAACTCACATACATTTTTAAAAAGATTGAAGCTACTATGAGGTGAAATTGCATGTCAAAAGCGCTTCGTTTTCTACAGATAGCGGCTAAACATCAAGATTTCTCCTGTTTTACTGTATTTCTAACGATAAAAACTTTATCCCAAAATATCCCGATAACGCTCTTACAGATTCCGTTTTAACTTCACGAACATCGAGGCGACTATTGGAGGAAAAAGCTCCCGAGAACGATTTCATAGTGAGAAATAATGCTGCAAGTATAATAGGTAATGGCGTCATTTCGTTGCTATGACAACTCCGATGTCATTGCAACCCTGATGATGACAAATTTGTTTGCCAACTTCTTGATTTTGTCGGTAACCTTACTATTTAAGTATCTTTCGCTTTGAGGGAAAAATATAATTTCATCAATATGACGTCGAAATGAAGTCAAATTACGTCATTGTGTCAATTAAGTTTATGCGTAAAGGGGCAGCTCCAGATGCCCCCCCCACCAGTGGCAGGAAGCCTAAAAAAAAAAGACTGGGCTGAGTGGATTCAAGTATTCTAGATTAAAAATGAATTATGAAGTTATCTACCTTTTGCGGAGAACTGCAAGAAAAACAGTTTATTTCCTGAAACCGTGCCAAGAAACAAACTATTATTTGTTTTAAAGTGTAAGAGTGTCGCGTGCGTGCTTTCACCTTTAGCATCAAAATGCTGCGGAGAGTCACAATTAATAACACCTAAGTTTTTTCATCATTAATTAGAAGTCTTTTATCGATCATCCAGCTTTGAATATCCGCAAGACACTTTTCCATAGTCCGTACTGAAGCATCTTGACTGAGTTGGCCATCTGGTTTGAAATACTACATAAAGATGTATATCATTAGCAAAGCAATGAACACATAGAAAGTGTATCTCTATAATGAATAGATGATGAATAAGAGCGGCCAAGGTTGAAGCATCCAGAAAGTGGTCAATCACCTGGCGGTGGTCTAGCAGCATCAATAGCGGTGGCGTTGTTCAGAAGAGTGCTAAGGTACCTCTTCCATTCATTGAGAAGTTCTTGGTGACTAATTGGGTCACTATCGTCCCTCTTTTTGACCCGTTCAGATCCTTCAATCTCTTCCTGGAGGCGGCTGTGTTAAGGAGCAGGTGCTTGCTTTTGGTGTCATTAAGAGCTTTTCGCAATTCTTCTTTTTCTTCTTTGTTTGGTAAGCCATTTGAAACCCGCTTGCCAACTACCTCTTCTGCAGTGCTTCTTGTTTTAAAACTAACTGTACCTGATGATGATTAGCTCATCATTTGTGGTGGAGGAAAGGAGGAAAAGCTGTTCGATAGCTTTAGCAGGAATTCTGATGTCAGCACAGGATTCCGCGAGTCTCTTCCAATTGTACTATTTGCGACTTACAGGTTTGCCTGTTTTACTATGGCATTCGACACCATTGCTAATAAGATCATCTTGCGTAAGATGTTGTACTTGGGTGTCCATCAGGCAGCTATAAAGTGGTTCTCGTCTTACTTAAGTGGCCGAACCCAAAGATGTAACCATTACAGAAACGCGCCCATTCAAAAACGTCGATCGTGAAAATGCAAATAAGTGAAAAATGACGTTAATTTAGTGTCAATCAAGAAATCCCCTGGGTACATCCCTTTCCTGGTTATTGTTCCTGCTCAGACATCCGCAACATTTGCCTATTCTTCGATGAAGAATAGAACTTTACGCGACTAACAATAGCTCAGTCTGTTTAAAAACTGTCTAAATTTACTCCGAATTAGCATGTGACTTTTTGCTGTTAAACGCTTCAAAACTGAAAAATCCTCGATGATTGTTGTTGATTTTGCCGTAAATAATTCAATGCACTGACTTAAAATGAATTTTTTACCTTTTACAAACTTCTTGGTGTTCGAATCGATCGATGAAATATGAGCGCAACCGATGCGTTAATAGTTTGTTTACATTTTGTCACGGGTTTTGGATAATATTATAAACCTTAAAATTTACGGGCAAATTCGACGAAAAAGCACTCTCACTTACATTCTTCATTTAAGATATTGAGTATAAGGCAAAATTAAGAGCGATACTTTCTTTAAGAACGCTATAACTACATATTTAACGGCCAAACCTAAACAGCGATCTAATCCGTTTCTTGAAAACAACTACAATACCGCTTCTGATAATAATATTTATAAACGCTGCAAACATTTTTATTCAATCTTATCGAGTGATTTTCGTGAAGATGAGTTTTTAAGTGAAGAATACTTTGGTTTCTGATTAGCTTTAACTGTTTTGCCATCAAAACGATTCGCACGAGACTACCGAATTCGCGAGGGTTTTATGTTAGTGCACGAGGAAGAAAAATTCTTCTCTTTGCATAAACTTGAAGCACTGACAAAGACATTCCAACACTTAAAACAATGGCAACCTACTTCTATTGTTTCTGCATTGTCTCTTGAAAGTGTGAGAATAGTTAACCGCTATGAAGTTCATAAGAGACCGAAAACGACGGTAGTCTTTGAAACTTCGTTTTTGCTCGCAAAGCCTAATGGGTACCCCACTTTTCACGGGCGACGTTTTTCAATGGGCGCGTTTCTGTAATGCGTCAGTGGCAAACTATCAACTGCTCGTACCCTCAGTCGCAGCGTGCCGCAGGGTAGCGTATTGGGTCCTTTGCTATTTTTAATTTAAATTAATGGTCTTCCCAACTCCCTGCGGGGCCCCGTGCCAAGAATGTTTGCCGATGACACCAATCTTACGTTATCTGCTAAGACGTTAACAGAGCTTAAGCTAACTCTAACCCCTGAATTAAATAACCTTAGCTGTTGGCTGAAAGCTAACAAGCTCAGTCTAAATGTTCCTAAAACAGAGCTTATGATTATTGGATCAAGACAAAGAATCTGTTGTACAATGTACCCAAATCTTTAAGATAATCAGTACTTTCTCGACTAAGGGCCGAACACATTATGCGAGAATGACAGCGTCAGTACTCCTGATTTTCCAAAAGGCTATCTATCTCCTTGACAATAAACGACGGTTTCTCAAATTACAGATCAGAGTAAAGTGACCAGAGAAGTGATAATCTACAGTAGGAGTGGTTGATATTAGCTCATTTACATCCCTTGTAATCACTAGATCCAGGATATGGCAGGACACCTAGGTCAGTTTATCAACGGTTGCAAACTAATAGACTCCAACTAACCCAACAAGCGTGTATATTTAATATCACTAGGAACAACAACATGAATTTCAAAATCACCAGCAATTAACAATGGTTCAGGTGACATTATGAATGATTCCAGGTAGGTAGTGAATTCTTCAGAAAACGTGGCTGTTGCAGCCGGATCTTTAGAAGAATACGGTATCCTATAAATAATCAAGATCATAAGTTTCCACAATCGATTCCCAACATTCAAATGACACTTTCTCGCCAGCATCTACTTTTTGGAGGCAAGAGAGTAATTTTCCACCACTAGTGCGGCCCACGCGAGAATGGTTCGTCATTTTAAACCGAGGAGGCGATTCTTTGATCCGATGACCAAATATCATGCTGAGAAAACCAGTTCTTAGTCACTGTGAAAATATCCGTTTTCATAGTACATGCATAACAAAGAAAATCAGGCGATTTGTTCCTGAGAGATAAGCTGATCTCTCCCCTTGCATATACTAGATGACATTTGTAGGGGCTGTTTCGGAACAACAACCAAGTTCTAAACGTTGACACCTTTGGGGTGCAGCGAACTGAAAAAAAACCTGATTCAGTGCTAGTTCTGTCGAATAAATTAACAGGTCTTATTCTTATACGACCAGTTCTCCTCTCTATATATTTTAAGATTCCACAGTCCTTTAATACTTTCATAGTAGGCATGAACAATTTGAGATGACATGATACACGTATGTCCAATAAAAAGTTACGAGAATTATGCAGATCTCTTCGATCTGCGTAATTCTTTACTCCATACACAGCCTCACTCAATATTTCGTAAATATTCCTGGAGAGTGAGCCAATTCAGTTAACAAACAGTTCTCTGCGAGAAAAGGAAATGGAAAGTATTTCACGTATTCTTTCCTCGACAACCAAAGCCGCTATCAACGTCGCACAAACCGAAAACAACTTGACAGCGCAACCCCTGGCTGAGTATCGAATCCCTTCAATGTCTACCACTTCATCTACCTTGGGTGTGAATTCTTTCAATGAGAATAGGCTCTAAACAATGTTTCACGGAAATTACATAACTGGAGGCGTCTTTAACATTAACTTAGCTCTCGCAAAAAATGAAGTAAAGAGTCCACAAGTTGACCCGAAGCGTAAGAAGCGGCGACTCATTATTGAAAGTGACAGTAGCCAAGAATTCATAACATGATGCTATTTTAGGATACGCTTTTGCTGTTATAGAATTTTTCTCTTCTTTATTAGAATTTTGACTTTTTGTAACAGAAAATGTAAGTATTATTGTCTTTATTTCTCCTTTATAGCGGGGCTCCCCATACTCATAGAATATGGTCAACCTCATTTCGTTTGGTTGTCAAGTGATTAACCGAGCGTACGTACGTACCTACGCGTCTACAGATTGTACGGGTGGGGTAGGGGAGACTATCAAAAGGAAGGGAGGGGTGTCTCGGGCGTGTCTTGCTAAGTCCACATCCTTTACAATGAACATTCACAATATGGTCAATTGAAAGCTGTCAAAACAGGATAGCCACTGACCAGTATCCCATGACCATATCGCGGGCTCATGTGTCAACTCATTGAGGTGACATGATGTATTTTGAAGCTGTCCGCTGACCAGTTAATTGTTTTACTAGATCGCGATCGATGTTGAATCTCGTACTTTCTAGCTAGTTTGGGATCGGAGCACAGGAAAACTGATACACATATTGGACATCAATGTTGTGATCAATTGACAGCTGTCAAAACAAGGTATCCGCTGACCAGTATCACTTGACCGTATTGCGGGCTCAGGTGTCGACCCTTCGTGGTCAACTATTTTTTGGAAGTTATCCGCTGACAAGGTACTGGTTTTCAAATGATTGCAGGCTCAAGTATGATTTTTTTAATTCATATGTTTCACCTCAGATGTGATGTATAAATTATATAAAAGGTTGGTTTACACGCACCCAGATTTGTTGGCAAGATTCTTTAAAGTAAACTTCTCGAACGTAAAAAATTCGGCCGGAATTTTTTTCCAGGCCTAATTAATCTACGGTGATCAGGAGCCATTATGGCTCTTAATAAATGTAAATAATAATTGCCAGTTTTTTGGTGTACATATGAGGCTATCAACTCGATGTAAGATTTGGTACACTCTTGGGCTGTTTGCAAATTAATTTTCCCTAAAATAACTTAGCCTTGCCCTGAAAAGTCACATATATGTGCTCTAAAGTTAACTGAATTGTGGAATACAAGTTTCTTGTTTGATTTAAATCATAAATTTATTAATGGGGGCCTCGCTTTTAGCCCTGGCTAAATCTATATATTAACTTTATATCCGAGTTTCATAACATTTTTGGTGACAGGCATTTTGCGATAGGTGACCACTTTAATTGCACTATTTTGCTGTTTCGAAAATGAATAAAAAAAAGTTGTGTTTTTGGTAGGTATTTCATCAGTATCCAGGCGGTGTGCGCCACGAGAGTCGACCAATCAGAATGCGTCATTTGTAGACTGATTTTCGCGCTTGGAAAGAGCCGTTTTCAGAGGTACATGTGGTGAAATGTTCGCTTTATTCCAAGCTTGTGTCGGTAATTTCGACACTATACCGCCGTGGGAAAGTTGTTTGAACACTTATCTTGATAGCACTTGCGTTACTTTTAAATATGTTGCTTTCTTGAGCGTTTGTGACAAGTTTGAATTGCTCGGTCAAGTGCAAGCTGCCATGATGATTTGATCGTAATTTTCGCTGTCCTTCTTGGATTCATTCCTGGTTACTGGTAGCGGTTTAATCGGATTATTTCGGTCAACTTGTTACTTCAACCTTTCTTCTTTGCAAATTTTGGGGTCTACACGGGTCTTCCCCTGATTGTTTCCCCGTCAGTAGGAGGCGTTGAAAGATTGTCTCAGCGAGTAGCACAAGTCCCGGGAAACGGGCTGAGTTCTTGCTTCCGACGTGAAGTGAGTAACGCAAAATCCACTAAGAGTTTGTCTCATTTTAAGCCACAAAAGGTAAATAGGTTTGAATATTGTGATAACCTTTAGAAACAAAACTTTTTTCATAACCCAGCGCGGAAACTGAAAGCGTGTCTTTAAAATAATTTGCATGGCAGTGTGTGCTATTTGTATGCAAATCTTCATGTAAACTTACGCGAGGGAATAAATCTCTACCAAAACACAAAACCATTATCGAAAATCTAGACAACATCATACAGGATTTTAAAACTGTGAGGTTAGGTTTATAACAAAATCGATACAATGTGCTCACTTCAATGAACGTACAGACAAGATGGTGGCTTGTTTCTGCTGTCGTAGCTTCGGTGAAATTCCTATTGTGCTGTAGCTTAGCGAGCGCTACTTTTGGTCTGTTTTTCCCTTGCCTATAGAAGATTTATTTGCTCATAAGGATTGCAAACAGTCACTGTTTGCAAAATAATATAAAATTGTCGATGAAAATAAAATTGTTATGCGAGACGATGCAAGATTTCTCTGTATCTCACCTTACTCTTTGTTTGTGCTCCCCCTCCTTGCCGGGTTAATTAAGTCCATCAAACGTTACTGTTAAATGGACGAATTTTTATTCAAGCAAATCCAGGTATGAACTACAGATCTCTTTCACTCTGAGATTAAAATATGCATATAAGCACAGCACTAAACATTACTTAACATCTCCTGAGAAGCAGGAAATCGTCGCGCCTAAGATCGCACCTTTGATCGTCTCCGAATCGCTATAAACTTATTGAAATTAACTTACGAAGCATATAGCAAGCATCCGAGGCCACTATGAGATATTGAGTATTGTCCAAATCGCTCTCTTCGTAAGGTTTTTCAGAAAAGGAAGCAGTGTTTTGATTCCAGGTTTTGAGTCAACTCTCTCACGAGATGCGAACTCGACCGTGTCATGATTGAAATGAGGCCCATAAACAGTTTTACCCATGAACCTTTGTGGGTCGTGACGCACTCCGCCTGATCAGTATCTATAAAATAAACAGAACATTACATCGTCGCTTGGGGATACGAATTTTATCTTCGAGTGCTGAGCGGCCATGTAATATCCTCTATTTATCATCATTATCATTATTTTCTTGTATTTTTTGTATTATGACGTAATGTAGTTAAATTGAGTGAGTATATCCGTATTTATTTCGTTTCACCACTTTCGTTGTCTCGGTAACTGTGGCATTTGGCATTGTTCTACTTATAAAAGTGGATGTGCGTAAAGACACAGGTACGCAGACTGTGATACCTACAAGAACTGCAACCAAGAGAGATCTGCAAATACTCCTGGTACGAGCTGTTTGACCATGTTGTTCGACAAATTCCTGTAACAAAATACAATGAATTAATAATTAAATATGGGAAAACTATCCCTCCACGTTCATATATCATTTTCACTTTTGAAATAAAAAATATGATTGGGAAACAAGCTCAAAAATCTAATTCAGCTTTCATTATTTTTTGTTTTACGTGTTCTGTGCGGATAGTTCAGAAAAGACAACCAGTTCAGTGACCACACAACAGTTCAATAACCACGCTAGTAATTCAATGAGCACAACAGTAGTTCACCGAGAATAGACTACATGCAGCGCGCTGCGGCGGAAATAGCCACAAATACGTTAGATTTTTTTAGTATAAATGTGTAGAATAAACTAAGTGGTAAATACTCATTCAGCGATGGCACAAAAACCAAACTGAGAAATAGGTATGGCACAACATTATTTAGTTCCAGTGTGCTCACTAAAGTTGACATGAACATAGACTGCTGGCAATTTAAAAGTTAAAGAGTCTGTTCACAAGCTCTGTCATTGTCATCAGGAGCACAGTGAACAGACCTGGAAAGAGAGTCAGCGCTGAAAAGGAAAGATAACACGGCAAACCGTTGGAAAGTCTGAACTTGCGCATTAAAGATTATCTATTTGTTATTAACGTGGATTGATCAGGAGCACCCAACGGCAATTTTTGGAAAATACCTGTTCGGAAGACTAGACTTGCTTGAGATCTAGAATTTTTGGAACATTTGTTGTAAAAGTTCTTGCTTGCCTGCCTCTCCTAAGATTTTCGAACATTTGATTGATGTTAGGCACGTAGGGCCAGCTGTGGTAAACTACTGTCGTGGTCATCGAACTACTTGTGTGGTCATTGAACTGCTGTTGTGGTCATTGAATTACTAGCGTGGTTATTGAACTGTTATGTGGTCACTGAACTAATTGTCTTTTCTGAACTATGCACACAAAAAACAAAACAAAAAAAATGTTTTTCTCAAATACCTATGCTTTCATCTAAGCGTGCACACAGGACTTGGTTGGCAGTGAGAATACATTCCGAGGTATTTTTCGGAGAAATTGATCCCGATCTGTTGAGTTATGGGCCTGCTTTTCACAAAAGGGGCTTCACATCAAGTGTAACGATAAAGATTTTCAAACCTTTAAGATAGAAATTACAGGAGGGCATAGACGGTTTATCCTAAACATAGTGACTAAAATACGTAATCTTAAATTGAAATCTATCACTGCATGGAGAGGTTGAAGGAAGTCCAGAAAAGTTGTATTAATGCAAGAAGAGATATTTCTGTGGCATTTCACAGAGGCGCATTCCACGAAAACGAGCCATCATCCTCCAGAACCCTCAACTAAATTGCTGCAGTGCTCTACCAACTGAGCTATGAAGACCCATACTTTAGCAGCAAGCCAATTTTTTTTCTTTTTTTAATCCGTGAAGGGAATGAATCATGAAATAAAGATAATGTGAGCTGTAGAAATACAAGATATGATCATCGCAGGTGTAATAGCAAATTAAGCAATTGTAAATTAACCCAAATAAATCTCATAGGCTTTAATGCGATTCCGCCACTGTTTTGATTGTGGTCTTGAATCCCGATCCAGTTTCTTCGTCAACATGAATTTTAATGGAAAATTAACGTTCGCCGTGGCTGGTGTGGGTGAACGTTATGTTTGAGGTTTTTGCTCGGCAATTGCACATTTTTTTTTTATAATGGGGGAAAAGTTTTACCGTGTATTGCTATCGTTATTTAGGGGAATATATATGTCCAAGCAATTAATCGTCAGAACCTGTACATAGCTAAAATGTCTATCGTCTGTGGATCCAGACAGCTACAAATACAAATGTAGTTAACTTACAAAATCTGCAATGAAGAGAGGTCTGCGAAAATTCCATGCGGGATTTCCTCGATTATGCTGTTTGACAATTTCCTACAGCAAATTAAAATTCGTTACCGACATTAATGTGTACATGTTTCCTTATCTTTTGTTTTGAAACAAAAAAAGATATATTTTAACAATGAAACTGTGCGTCCTTTTAAATTCAAATTCAAATTAAATCAAAATTGTCAATCTGTACAAAACAATTCGCAGTATGAAGGTGTTCTATGGACTTAAAAAAAGGCCGTGAGGCCTGCGGGGACGGTACAAGCCTTACGGTACAAAACGTTAGTATAGCAAAAAGCTGACCAAATGAAAAAGCAATAAAGTCTTTCCGTTTGTCACAAAATAGTACAACGGTAACAGGTTGTGCATGTTATCATGGTTTTGCATCGTCAACCACGTTCGACCAAAGTTGGCGTAGTTGTTCCGATGGCTGTGACCATCAGCTCTTCACCGTGGTATATTGGCAACCATGGTGGATAAACAATTCTTTTCTAACTAGCAAAAGATTAATAGCCAATGGCAACGCAGTGATGTTTTGTGGAATAAATTGAACATTAAATCGAGATTCGTGCTTTGTATCCTTATTGACGAATTAAGGCTATCTAACTGACTCGATGCCATAATGTAAATGTACCAGGTTCTACCAAATCCTAAACTATTTAAAATCACCTTTTTTTACAAACACTGTCAAAATTGGCGGTGTTGTTTGGATGGAAACCTAAGCCTCTGCATGGACATTGCCGACGAAATCGAAGTCGCGACCAGCTTAGAGATGCAACTATCGCATTACCATTTCAATCCCTTTTGACAACGTTAGTCTTTCAATGACTAAAAAGAAGCCTGCCAAACATTGTGCTGCACGTTCAGAAGTTTCGTTTTGTTTATTTTCTCAGTTTTGTCGTTGTTGTGGTTGCGTTGAAGTTTGTAGTAGCGCTACAATGTTAAACAATTCTTGATATGGGCGATTTCCCCAGGAAAACCTATTTCCGCAGGTACCCATACACAGGCACAACCCTTGTGTCAAATTGAAGGGAATTTCTGGCAGATATTCTATCATTTCAATTGGATGGTTAATTCGAGACTTCAATAAACTTGGATAGACTAAAAACCTTAAAGAGAATAGGTGTGGAAACTTGCCTACCAAAAGCACGGCTTCGTAGTTTCAGGTCAGCGGTCTCACCTCCGAATGCCTACTGTAATATAGTATGTTTTGTGCTTCGACCTTCTTTTGTGTGTGTGTTCTGTTTTTCGGAGAACACTTTAGAGTGTTAAGGAAGTAGTGCATTGGTTTCTATACTATTGCCCTTAGCTACAACCAGATTGACCATGGTCAACCTCATTGTCATATCTTTATTGTTGATTATGGTTATCCTTTAGTTGGATAATTGTCAGACGACGGGTTTCCATAGGTTGAGAACCATGATTATTCACATTCTACGGATGTAGAATGATAGGCGTTTATTATATTTGTTAAACTAGAAATACGTCATCGCAAAAATCTTGCGAAGCTGTAAATGGTCCCAATGAGAATACAGGGAAACAAGCCAAAGGGCAAAAATATGTCGAAAAAAAATAAACAGAAAAAAATGTATAAAGAAATTAAAACGCAATAAATAAACAACCACGACGACATTCGAACCTTCACTATGATTGCCTCCAGCTTCCAGACCACTGGACCTTACTGCCACTGGACAATAGTCCATTTTTGAGTTCGCTATGACCGCTGAATTAATGAAGTGAAGACGTATTTATTACAGCCTTAGCCTCAATCTGAAGTAATATATTCATATATTTCAACGAGAAAAAGACGTGTTTATTACTCTGTTGTGTATATTCAAATTTCAAACACTTACTTGCCAGAATTTCCGAATGTTTTACTTCACGTCGAGGCTAACCCTGTATGAATCTGTCGTTAACGTTTATATTCAGCGGTAATTTTTAGTTCGAAATTGGACTATTCTTACCGTACGACTCTGCCATACACGCTGTTTGAAGCTTGTGGAGTTGTATTTATCATGAATTCAAGGAGATATTGAGGAAACTTAGCTTAAGCGAGTATTTCAAAGGAAATGCACCTTGACGTCACACTGGATACGAAAACCCAAGAGATATATAGAAATATTGCGATTTTTAGGGCGTTTACCTTGAAACGTTTTTATTTGTTTCATGCATGATTCACTGCCACTGTGCATTTTTATTAAAATCAACAGTTAAAGAGTCCTTGAGCCAGGAAATTCACTTACAAATTAGTAGTTGTTGTTGGTATACACTTCCAAATATATGTAACATTTCCTCCACTGCAGTCATGATGGTTGGTTACTTGCACAGGACCATTGAAAAGACCCTTGCTTTGACATAAATGCCTGCAATCTGCGAAAGCAATGCATCTTTTCTCAGGTAACATGACAAGTGAAAAGCGGATGAGACAACTGTAAGGGTAGATTTCTAAACCAAATGTGTTCATAAAGTTACGCTGTAAACTTGACAACTACTATTATATATTGTAAAAATACACCATCAGTGCGTTCAAAAGTAACACGGTTGACTCGTTTCATCGGGAAAGACGCTGAATATGGGCAAAAAATATCACAGTTATCACAGTTTGGTATTGAAATATGGTTCGACATATTATCATGTTAACTTTGAGACAAAAACCTTACCCATAACGTTAACGTCAACCGTTTTGGAGCTATTTCCTGCATCACTTTTTGCCACAATTGTATAGTTTCCCATCTGAACGAATTGAAGTCCTTTCACCACTGGCCCACCCTCCAAAGGTGTAGATGAGTTGGCTAACCAAGCTTGAATGGGTGGAGTGCCTTCCAGCAGGAACCAGGTATAATGCTCTGGTACGCTGCGTACTACTGACAACGGAATCCTTATCTTCGGCTTCTCTATAAATCGAAATAAGCAATGCTTGTCTTAATGGCGAGGAAAATTATGCTTTTCGCTATAAAATGAGTGACTGATTTTTGGAGACATCCGTTGTGTTATAAAATAATTTACAAGGAACATGGGCAACCGAGTCATTACGTCTTGCCTTCTAAAAAGTTGCACATAGACAGGTGGTGAGAAAACGGGTTATTTTTCAAGATCACAAGAACGAAAATACACCAAAATTTCCTAGCATCAAAACATGATATTAAGCGGAATTCTGACGCTACTTAAGAATAATTTGAGTCATTTATAACGTTTTTTATCAATAATCTATCACAGCTATTGAAAATTTAAAGTTTGAAATATATTTTCGTCTTAGTCGAATTCAAACATACAGAATTTTTCTACTTCTTACGGAGATTGTTTGCTAAACACCAAACTTTAAGTTCCTAGTGTTGGATTTTCAGTAGCTGGTCTAGATCACCCAAAATTCGGCGTTTATCAATTTCAAAGTTTTTTGTTTATTGTTGTCATAGTAATATCGATTTTACTTAAAACTACATTTTCACAAATTTCAATCGATAGCCAATTACTGGTGAACATTTTATAGCGATCGAACAAGGAAAAAACACTTTTAAGGCGATTGAAAAATATGGGTATGGCCTCCGAAAAACTGTATCGAAAAACCTTAAGGCGCTTGTGGTAACTGCTGAGAAAGCATCGCTTAACGTTCATAGATTTGAGACTTGAAATTAGCATATGCTCGACAGTTGATTAAGTTTGCGTGGAATACTTCACGAGGCGCTAAGTGAGACTCGAATGGCTGGTGAAGATAAACGTATGGTCATTGTGATAAAATTTTCCAAATTATGAATTTAGCGTCCTTTTATTTCAATAACGATACTTTGAAATGTGATATCGTGGGAAACAAAGACAACTATAAATACGCAGGTCTATGCTAGTCGCATTGTACACGCACAGAGACATATATGCTTCTGACACTCATCATCGATATACTTTGAAATTCTATTTACCTTTTACTTGCAAGTTTGTGTTGGAAAATTTACCAGGTGAAGCTAATGTTTTCATTCATACTCGTAATGTGCCGTTGGTTTTCATTTTATTTTTAACATTTAATTTTTTTTGTTGGTCAATTTTCGATATGTTGCTAATGTATTTTACTTGAAAATTGAGAAATCTGGTTATTCTGCCAGAAAATAGTCGCGCAGATGTTGTTTTGGAATCGCTGAAATAGAGAATCGGCCGGGCGTGTTTACTTCAACATTTCCAAAAAAACCCGCTTATGAGTTAAACACGCCGCAAGTTCACCCGCTCTCCCACAAACTTGAATGAACCAATCAAAAACACTTTCATAATAAATTGTTTTTTATTGAAACCAATCAGAGACGGTCTTGCTTCAGGATTCGTCAGAGCTCTTCCCGCCCTGCACGTCATGCGCAGAAGAGCTCTGGAGTCGAAATTGTCCGCTATTAAGGTTTTTATAATGGTCTTGTTTTTTGAACCTCAAAATTAGTCTGGGACTTTTTTCCCCGCTAGGAAAAGCCTGCTCTATTTCGATGTTATCACAACATCGACGGAGATCAAACAGAAAGTGAATCAACACAAATCTTAGCGTTTAGTAGGCATATCGATTAGTAGCACAATACACTATTTTTACCCTCCAAACATTGCTCAGAACTGTGATAGAACGCTATTGTTTTGGGTGCTGTCCAAACTGAAATAAAAGCTAACGATGAATTATGCGTTTCCCTCAAAAGGCAAAAATATGATTGACCAAACTTTCAACAATCGAAAATCATTTTTGTCACATGTACCTCGCTTCCTCAACTAAGAAAAAAGTGACTGTATGGAAGCTCTTTTATAAAGAAGTGACATTATTGCAGCTTAAAGAATGTTAGCTTGCACCTATGACGCTCACGCGGCTGGACACATACGTTTCTGGCACGAAAACCGAATTTACTCAAAAGGTATCTCCCGCGGTTGTGAGCATCAGGTTAAAACAAAAAAAAGTCAAAAGACCTAATTCAGCTTAAAACCGTTAATTACGCTTCAACTTTTACAACATAAAAAATCACCTTACCATGAAGGGTAATTTTCTCGCCTTTCTGTCTCGCGCCCTCACTCACACGCGAGGTCATTTCATGCTGTCGCGCGTTTTGCTAAACAGAATAAAAAAGGAGGCTTCTTCTAGTAGTCTTGGCCTTGATAACCGAAATTATAAGTTGATCATACCCGGATCTTGCCAAGTCGATACTTCGATTATCTCGAAAAATAGTAGGATTTTTTTCTTAGTCGGTATTAAAAGCTTTATACTAAGGTAGTCTACTAAATTGTTTTTACGCCTGTTTGGAGCCTAGTCACTGCCTTCCTGCATACTAATTAAGTGCCTTGTCAGTGTCTAGCTAGCTAGGTAAAAATGCGTTCCTCCATACTAATAACTGTCTTCCTGCATACTAATTCGGCATAGGTTTACTAATGAGCGTCTCTCTACTACAATACATACATACTTTATTGTTGCCTCCCCAAAGGGGCTTTTCAATAGGCACAATAGGCTTGCCTAGACTTGCTCAGGCCAGTAAGTAACTTTAGTCCGGTTTCCCGGAACGTCTATTAAAAGGAAAATAGTAATAAGAGGGCGATCACCTAGCAACGCGAGAAATGGCTTATGTCTTCTATTTAGCGCTAAAAATCGGATATATATAAACAAAACACACACACATATACACAAAGTGGAGCTGAAAACTCTCTATTTCAATTTTGTCTGACTGTTACAAAATTGTTTCCTCCTATCTATCTAAAAGAAATGAAAAACTATTTACGTCTCAGCGTTTCACGCACCGTTAGGTAATTATGCGAGTTCACAAGCCCACAGTTGCATACAAATTAGCTCTACTGGAAATACCCAAGGGAGCATCTTGACGTATTATTATAAAAACAATTAATAACTTAACAAAGATCAATTGAAACACCCGAGTTATAATTGCTAGCACTAAAACCAGACAAGGGATACCGTTTTAAAAACTTTATTAAAAACCAATAACAAAAAGAGTCAAATACACAGCGATTTGATAAAACACACTTAAAGATTAGTTGTTTACAGTTTTTATTGAAACGCAACAATACAAAGGTCCAGGAAAAAAATTCTATAACATTCATGGTAGGACTAGTCTTGGTCTTGAGGAATGGTCTGCTTTTCGTACAATTGATTGAGTAAGAATTTTCGCTTATCGATCGCTAGTTCTGTCGATTCCAACCAATCATATCCTTCTGAATCTTTAAGTTGTAAACAGGAAGAAGAGCGTTCTCGGCTTTCACGCAGGCTACATTTTCTGAATCTCCGTTCCCTTCGTACTCATTGATCAATTTGTTGAGCTGGGTCTCGTGGCGTTTCTCGGCTTTATAGAAAATGTGTGACCAAGGCTCTAAGTTTTCTGTTTTTTCTTGGGATGAGGGCCGAAACCAGGACAAAAGGGACAAAAAGGACTATGGGACCAAGTTTCGTAATACTTTGTCTTACTTGCTTCATCTTCTGTCTATGTATCTTTGGGAAATTCTCTATACGGCTCCGCCACACCTATACAACTGGGACAACTTTACTTTTCTACGGTGTCTCCTGGTCTCTTGCTGTCTAAGTAATGACGAAAATCTTGACAGAGCATTATATAGCGAGGGCTCTTGTTTTCCAGTCGAAGAGCTAAACATGAATCTTTTAATTCGTCACACTCCTTCTCTTTGTGACGCAATTGACGTTGTGTGTTTTCCAATACCACCTGTTTCTCTCTTAATGTCATGACCAAATTGCTTAAAACTCGAGTGGCTCTCATCAGTAAACCGTTTCTTGACCGTCTTTTTTCTAATCTGGATGGAGTTGTTGTTTAAGACTTTTTTAGCGTTTTTCCCAGTTATCACATTGTTCTTAGCATTCCTCTTCTTGGTTGGTCTTTGTTACTTGATCATTAATAATAATAGCGGAGCTCTCGCGCGCGCATAGCGCGCGCAGCGGAGCACCATGGGTAACAAACTTTAGTAAACGTACGCCCACCCATACACACATTTCATGTAAGCCGATGTCAAATGTCACACTAGATCTTGCACAACTTGATACTAGCGTGCCAGTTATGAAAGCCATCCGTATGAGTATGATTACATTGACAGCTGTCAAAATGAGACATCTGCTGACAATGATCACATGACCATCTCGCGGGCTCAGATGAAAGACAAGTCGTTTTGCCCCTACATATAAGCTGATATAAAATGTCGCACTTACCTGTTCAACATAAGAATGAAACTACGCTGGGCAGGGCTGTCAGTCGGCTGCCAGTAGTTGTTATATGTGCAGGCTAAATTAAGGTCAATTGACAGCTTTTAAAATTGGACATGAGAAGACCATATCACAAAACTAGTAACGTGGGCTCAGGTCAGCTCAGGTTCACAATCTGTCATTTCGCCCCCCGCACCCCCCCCAACTACATGCCGGACTGAAATTTCTTACTCACACTCGTAGTCGAAAGTCCGTTAATTCGAATATTCGCCATTCTAATGAAGGTTACTTGACAGCTGTCAAACTAGAGAATCAGCTGACCATCATCACCTGACTGTATCGCAGGTTCAGTTTTCTTTCCATTGAGGTCACCTATTTTTTAAGTTTTCCGCTGATATTTTATTTGATCGCGGGCTCAATTCTGTATTTTGAGCGGAGCCTCATAGCTCAGAAAATCTATCCATCATAGAAAATTTGGCATTCAAATGACCGTACACCGACCCGCCAGACCTTCTTTCCGTCCGCACCACATACATACCAATGTTTAATCTCACACTTTCAAGCTAGTTTGGGAGCCTGCAACCTGATATTGTACATCCATCTTTTGATTAATTGACAGCTGTCTAAACAGTGTATCCACTGGCCAGTATCGCCTAACCGTATCGCGGGCTCAGTTATCAGCTGACAAGTTGCTACTTTTCAAATGACCGCAGGCTCAAGTTCATTTTTTTCA